AAAAGTGGCCAGCTAGCATGGGGTTGTGTTTTATATAAAGCATTGTGCTAGCAAAAATCATGACTCTAATCTTAGCTTCAAAGATAGATGAAAAGCAATTGCCTGAGTTATCTGTGAGACCGTATTTGTAAATGGCACTGAAGGGTGGTCCTGAAGTAGTTGGGGGAAAATACATCATCTGTTATTTCCTGGAGTGGCAGGTTTTCTTTTTGGGGTTTTTTTTTTTTTTTTTGGCAGAGGGGCAGGGATCACTTTTGATTCTGGCTATATTGTCATTACAGACTAGAATTTCTGGACTATAAACGACCCAGCAGTATGGTTTTTTTTGCTTTAAAGCATAATTCTGTTTTTTGTTTTGTTTTGTTTTTTGGTTGGATGTTTGGTCAGTTGGTTTAATGTAGTTTTGATTTCACTAGGTTTGTCTTTTGTTGTGTTTTCTGTTGCAAAACATAGGTAGAGTGTAATACTCCTTTGCAGAATAAAAGCTCCAAGGGTTGGTCATGTCTCTTGTGCCCAGGGGAGACCTTAGCAAGCCCTGCATGTTCTCCCAGGGGCACGGAGACGTGGAGACATCCATAAACATGTGGTACTGACCTGCGTGTTGCAGAGATGACTAAGGTGTTGGCAATAAGCTGACAAAACCTGACTCCATTGCTTTCCTGTGCATACACTGAGTAACTGATTTGCACGGGGTTGGTGACTCTGTGTTCTGGGCCACCGGTGGCTAATGTGGAACCACCTGCCACTGCCGGGGACATGGGCTGGGCAGCTCCTGCTCTGCCCCGGCATCTCAGGGATGATGGGAGGAGCAAGGCGCATCCAGGCCAACCCAAGAGTCTGGTAACTTTCGATACATGGAAGGTACTGTGAAAATTTGAGGGAGCAGATGCCAGTGATAAGTATGAATGCGAGGAAATGTCTGTGGATATTGGTCAGAGCAAAAGCATGAAGGTCCAGGAGGAAAACTCTGGAATCCTAAACATGATTCTTGCAAGTTAGTATACATATTTAAGGAGCAACTGTTTTGTTTGTTCTTATCCCCAAGTTACTGTGTTAAAATAGAAAAAAAATTGAGGACAAAACTCAAACTCCTATTTGGAAGGTATATTAAAACAAAAAAAAAGAATAAAGGAGAGAAGTTTTTTTCCTGTGTTACAGTGAAGTTTAGGAAGATTAAACAGCAAAAAAAGTAAAACAGTAGCTAGAGGAAAATCTGACTGCTAAGATTTGTGTATTTGGGGGATGCATTTTTCTACAAACTCATACTTAATGCGTTTGAAATTAAAAGCAAGAAAGCAATGGTAACTATAAATATTTTTATTTCTCCATCTCTACTTGTTTTATTTGTGATGACAGCCCATCACAAATGCAGAACAGATGTTATAGCGTAGGCTGGACTCCTAAAATTTTTCTTTTTAGTGTGCTCTGCTAAAAAGAATGGAAGGAAATGAGGGTATAGAAACTCTTGCTATTCTAGATGAAGAGTTTATTGATCCCAGCTGATTGCATGTGCCCCCTCTGTCCTCTTCGGACAAACACACGAACCTTTGGAAGGCATCATTTCGGGCAGTCTGCCCTCCGAGCTGCTCACATGAGTGCTCCTCTGCGAGGTCTTGTCGAAACAAATATCTGTTATTTATTGAAAAATCTGTTGTTTAAGCAAACCCAGATGGGAAGGGGTAATCCTCATGCCTAAGGAGGCAGCAGGATGTAGCCTATTTCAGGCGACTCTAGCTGAGGACGGATACATCTGTGCTCTAATTTACTGAGGCACATGTGGTGATAGTGCTCATAGCTTTAGAACTGATGGCAAATCTGTAGTAGTTCCTGTTCCACAGGCTCTACAAAGAGCCTTTTGGCCAGAAATCCAGTGTAAAAGGACAAATACCAGGAAGGTTGCTAAGGCTTAGCTAAATCTCAAGGTGTGCTCCTCCCCGTGAGAAGTGATCACTCATTGCAGTAATGTGTTACTGGGATACCTCTACTGGAAAAAGGAGGTGGAAAGTTTCGTAAGGAAGAACATGGTTACACAAACCTGAAACTGAGGCAGGGAGCCTCCCTGCATCAGTTACAAGCATGAAATCAGCTTGAGGCTCTGATGGCAAGACTTGTCGTTACCTGATGATTAAAACAGCTTTGTGCAGTGTATGGGTCTCCCTGGGACTTGAAACAAATGTTCACAGAGCTTGAGACCACTTGAACATAGGACGGTAAAGAGATCTCTGCAGTATTTTCGCCTGCTGTTGTAGACTGGTGTTTGCTGAGGGGGAAGGGCCGTGTGGCGCCTGTGAACGCTCCGCTCTGAGTGAAGCGGCTCTCAGCGGGGCTCGGCAGCGTTGTGCAAGATTTATGTGCCTGCTGAGAAGATCAAAAAGTAAAAGGTGTTTGAGGGATGTGAAAATGAGAAGATGGACTATGAACAGAGGGAGCCTACTAGGGCTTTTTTTATAAAGTGACCCTTGTGCTTAGCTGAGGCAGATGCACAGAGGAGGTGAAGCTCCGAGCTCCCAACTGGGTAGCAAAATGCGTGCTGAAATTCACGGGGAGTGAGAAATCCCTATCTGTGAAATTAAGGGAGAGCCTGTTTGAACGTTCACAGACCTTCACTTCAAAAATGAAAAGTTAACAGTGTAAGGCTTTTTATAGTACCTCGGGCAGAGTAAGGAGGTCTTCTGGTCTCATCTTTCCTGTTTACTCCCACACAATCAGGTCTGTCAGGTTGTTCCCCCATTTTCTGAGGGAAAGTGATGCCTGCCCTGTTGTGTCAAGAGAGCTGGGACCGCCTGGTGTTTATGCAGTGAGATCTGAACTGTTGTGTTATCCTTCTCACACTGCTTCTTGGGGGAAGAAAAAAAAAAACTTCAGAATTGCTTTTCACAGTAAAAAGAAGCATGCTTATGAGAATTTTGCTGGAAATATGTTAGGGTTTTTCTTTTGTGCAAAAAAAATGCCTTGCAAGTCAGAAGTGTTCTTCAGTAAGGAGAAAATGACTATATAATCACTTAGGGTCCTGTAGTCTTCAAAGTAGACCATAGTTTTGAGGTAAAAGTTAAATTAAATCAATGTTAGGCAGTGATGCAGGATGCCCACAGAAACCCAATCTCACAGTAAAACTAAATGATCCAGATACATGTACAGATACATATTAATTAGGTCTGTGGAGAAGGCAATCTTGTGTGGGTGGGTTTTTTTGCCTGTTTGTTTTAAAGCAGTTTGGATAAGCCTGGAAACAAGGAGAATGTGGGAAGACAGTTTGCCTCTTCACAGCAAGATTTAAAGTAGAAAACGCTTAACAGTAAATTACCACATAGTAAAAGAAAGTAGCAAGGCTGGTTTAGCAGCTCCGGCATGATTGGATATATTTTGCTGCGAAGCCTAAACATAAAAATTAATTTTTGGAGATTCCGACAAGATAATGCAAAAATTATGTAAATGGATGCTGTGATGGCAATTAAAATGGATAGAGCTCGGCCTTGCAGTCAGCAGCCAAAATGGGCAAGTATCCCCTTGTAACTGTGTCCTTTTGTGCTTTCGTCCTCTGTGCTTACGTGCAAGGTTTAAATAATCACCACTATGGATATAAATGTTTGCTTTTTCTTTATGTGGTGATAGAATTGTCCCTTAAATTTGGGGTAGTTTTAAAAGAAACTGTAGTTTTCAATTCTTTGTATAGTAAATAATTATTAATTGCAATATATGAACCTCAAAGTGATCACAGAAATGGAAAACACGGATTTAGCAGTTGCTTTATATCTTATATGTTTATTTCAAAGAGACTTGCTATGTAAATATGTAATTAGACATGCAAACAAAGTCTTAGTGTATATGTTTCATCTTCTCACTGAAATCTGTGCATATGCTTTTATTTTCATATATACTTTTACAGATCAAGATCTGTATAAGCATAAATCTTATTACCACATTTTGTGTCTGCTTAAATTGCTTCAGGAGAAATTTGTTAGGATATTATGTTTCTCCTTTGCAGACTTCTATTACTCACATAATTGAATTTAATGTTTCAAAATTCACCTTTGAGTTGAGAGCAGTTTTGAAGCATTTCAGCCCAAAAGGGAACATTCTATGTAAGTGTTGAATCCTAGGATTAAAAGAAAATGGCCACATCAAACCTAGGTAAAAATATTAATGTAACTTCACTATGAATATAGGTAATGGTCTCAATCTGGGAGTTTCTAGTGAAAGCAACCTGCTGTCCCTTTCAGCTGGCTTCCTCAGAAACAATGAGGATTGTTATGAGGATTGGCAGAAACACTGCCAATAGTTACAAATATTATAGTGAGCCACAAAGGAGAAACCTTAAAATAATTAAGGAAGAATATACAGATTTAGAACCGGCATTATTTATTTGGTATATATTCTGATATGGAAGTACTTTTGTAGAACTACTGACTAATACTTTGGAGGTGGGGGGATTGTACTTGTTTTAGTTTAATATATAAATATGTTTTTATTCCTTTTGAATGTTTGCTTAGACCTCAGTAATGTCATGACTTCCACTCCAAATATGAAGGCTGTGAATGGGAAAGCTGAAAGTAGTGACAGTGGAGCCGAATCAGAAGAAGAAGGGCTTCGTGAAGATGAAGAAAAGCAAATACACCTAAATGGAAAGGGTATGTTTGCTAGACGTGGAACAAAGTTTCTTTCAAACTTATTCTTGCCTATCTAAGTGACAGAAAATCCAAAAAAATCACGAATGCTGTATTTCTTTAGGAGAATTCTGTGTAAATTCACATAGATACTTTTGTGAAAAATGGCTTTATCTTATTAAAAGGTTAAAAGACTGGGACAAATTTTTGAGCTATCCTATACAGAAAATTTTTGATTCGAGTAAGAAGTCCCATTAGTATATTAGCTCAACATCTACAGCATACTCTGTATTATTTTGGGCTTTGTTACCAGTGTTGTTTGTAGGAGTTGTGAGTGGATGCATGGCATGAAACAGGAGAATTAAAAATCACATTTATTTTCTTCAGAGAACACAAAACAGAACTTTTGGTGAGATTTGCTTTGGGGTTTCTTAAACAGTTTTGAGAAAATACCAGTCTCAAATAGAAAACAAATGAAGCTATGCTTTCAGAATTCCTGCCTTTTGCAAAATAAATATATTTACACTTTTTATAAGAACAGAACTATTCCTATGAATGTTAATCTACCTGAATTTTTATATTTTGTTCTGCAGATACTTTGAAATTATAGTCCATCAGAAGGTTAGGTATGTGAAGAAATATGTTTTAAGTTACTAGGTACCTACCTTTCTATTTGCAGCATTTTCTTGTTCTTTCACAGAATATAAGAATGTGAAGCAAGACTCAGCAGCTGCTAAGGATTTGGAAAGTGTTGTCACTAATGGCTCTTATAAGGACAACTTTATCCCAGATATGCAGAATGGCATCCAGACCAAATCTGCCCTGAATGGCTTGAATGTGGAAGAAGAAATAAAGAAAACAGAGCAAAGCCTAGAGCTAACTAGTAACACTGCTCACCAAGGTATTGTCCTTGCAAGACTATGTTGTACTTTTCATACTTTTGTTTTGGAAAATGTTGTTCCTGTTGAAATCCTAATCCTGGCATTCGGAAACAAGCAGTCATGCCTTCTATTTATAGGATCCCAGAGAATTTCTAAAATATTAATCAAATGTAATAGCAATATAAAATAAGATTGCCTATTTGTTTTGTGGTTTTTGTTTGATTGTTTTTACTGAAAAGTTAGATTCAAGAGGGAGGCCAAACACACAATTCCTGTATTTTAAGATCATTATGTCATATGTGCAAATACTATTTGATTCGAGAGCTACTGTGTAATGAAATGAAAATAACTAATGTTGTTCCCCAAAATTTAAACATATTATAAAAGCATAGTTGGTGAAAGTGATGTCTAAATACATCGTTTTAGAATCTATTGATAACTTAAGGCAAAACTGCTCTATACATAGATTAGGAAGGAGAGCAGAATGAGCAAGATAGAATTAGAATTTTCATCCTGTAAAACAAACATCAACATGAGTTTTAGTTTTCCCAGCAGTAAGTTTATCATAATTCTTGTATTAATATAATCTTTTTAGTGTACCTTTAGAATGATAATAGTAGATGAAATGGGCAGGAGTTGAAGCTCATTTAGATATTTTAACTCATTGCTTTACTCTTTGCCAGGACTGGCTTATTTAGACAGCCTGTGTGCATACGTACTTCCCTTCTGTGCAGCTGCAGGTG